AATTGTGCTGCTACAAACATTGATGTGGCTGCATCACTGTGGTATGCTGTTTTTAAGTCCCTTGGGCATAAACTGAGGAGTGGGAGAGCTGAATCAAATGGTGGTTCCATTCCAAGTTTTCTAAGGAATCTCCATACTGCTTTCCATATTGGTTGCACCAATTTGCAGTCCCATGTATGAGGGTGCCTTCTCCCCTGCATCCTCACCAACACTTATTATTGTTTGTATTCTTGGTAAATGTCATTCTGACTGGAGTGAAATGAAATCTTAGAGTAGTTTTGATTTGCATTTCTCTAATTACTAGAGATGTTGAACATTTTTTCATATATTTGTTGATAGAATGTATATCTTCTTCTGAGAACTGTCTGTTCAGCTCCTTAGCCCATTTATTGATTGGGTTGTTTGGTTTTTAGGTGTTAAGTTTTTTGAGTTCTTTATATATCCTAGATATTAGTGCTTTATCTGACATGTGTGTGGTAAAAATTTGCTCCCAAAATATAGGCTCTCTCTTCACCTCAATTGTTTCTTTTGCTGAGAAGAAGCTTTTTAGTTTGAATCCATCTTATTTATTAATTCTTGATTTTTATTTCTTGTGCTTTAGGAGTCTTGGTAAGGAAGCCAGGGCCTGATTCAATGTGATGAAGATTTGGGCCTACTTTTTCCTCTATTAGGCACAGGGTCTCTGGTCTAATTCCTAGGTCCTTGATCCACTTTGAATTGAGTTTTTTGCATGGTGAGAGATACGGGTTTAGTTTCATTTTGCTGCATATGGATTTCCAGTTCTTCCAGCACCATTTGTTGAAGAGTTGGGTGTTAAACCACGACGCAAAGAAAAGACCACTGACTCCAATTTTGAATCAAATTAAAGCAAGCTTGTATTTGTACACTGGAGCTGGCCAGGACCATCTCTCCCAAAAATCCAGGGCTAGAGATCAGTACCCCAGCTCTCTAGGAACACAGTTTTATAGCACAAAAAATTGCAAAGAGGGGTGTCTTGAGAACTTACAGATAACAGGATTTTGACAAGTATAATACAAAGGCAGATAGTAGGTTAATGATCTACATGGCTTAACATTTCAAGGTAGGGAATAAATTTAGATTCCCAACATTAGAATTTATGTGGTGCCACTGAGGTTTCAGAGAGGGCTGTTATTTGGTCAGGGAAAGCCAGGCATGGGTGAGTTCAAGTCAGGAATTCCAAACAAGTTTAGAAATAGCAGTAATTCATAGTAAAACAGAAATTAACTTTTCATGACTTTGTGATGAGATGGCTCCCAATCTTAAAATTTTTGTTCTTCAAATGACAACATAATAAAATGAAAAGAAGACTGAGATATTTATAAATAAAGTGAAAAGTAAAACAATTGGCAAATTATATATGTGTTGAAGGACTTGCATCCAGGATATCTAAAGAACTCATATATGTAGCTTGATAATAAAAAGACAAACCATCAAGTTGAAATATATCAAAAAGGATAGATGCATGAATGGCTAATAAGCACATTGAGAGATGCTTAATATCAGTTGCTATCATGAAAATGCAAACTAAAACTACAATGAGAAACTAGTACATTAAATATAAGAGCTACATCAAAAGGCTGATAACACCACTTGCTGGGGGAGATGTGGAGAAACAGTTATACATTATTTGTGGGAATTTAAAAAGATACAACCACTTTGGAAATCAGTTCATGGGTTTCCTGGAGTTAAACAATTTTTACCATTTGACACACTAATGTCACAAAAGACTGTGTATATAAATGTTTACAGCAACAATATTTATAATAGCCCCAAACTAAGAATAATCCAAATATTCATTAATGGACAAATAGATAAACACAAGGTAATATATCCATACAATGAAATAGTACTTTACAATAAAAAGGACAAATTACTGATACATGTTACCACTGGATGAGTCTCACAAATGTTATGTCAAGAGAGAAAACAAACAAACAAAAAACAGACACAAAAGACTATATATCTATGATTTTAATTATCTGACATTTCTAGAAAAAGCAAATATTTCTAGAAATAAGTAAATTAGTAGTTGCCTAAGGTTAGAGGTGAGTATTGACTGCAAATGGGCATGAGGGAGCTTTTTGAAGTGATGTAAATGTTCTAAATTGGTTGTTGGTGATGATTGTTCAACTATGTACATTTAATAAAAATCTTTGAACTGGGCTGGGGTTGTGGCTCAATGGTAGAGCACTTGCCTAGCATGTGTGAGGCACTAGGTTCAATTCTCAGCACCACATATAAAAAAATAAAATAAAGGTCCATCAACAACTAAAAAATAAAAATCATTGAACTGTGCCTTAATGGGTAAAGGGTAAAATTTAAAGTACTTAAGTCATATCTTGAGAAAGTATAATAGGACTTTTTCTGTGTCCCCCGATGGAGTCAATTTTTCTCTGGGAAAGAGGATCCTTAGATCTGCAAAGCCTGAAGTTGCTGAAAAGAGAAGCACAAATACCCCAACATGTCACTAGAAGTGATGGTAATTGGGGTTACTTTTGTTATTGCTCTAAAGCCATATATTTTACCTATTGGGAACACAGCAGCATGAAACAGTCAAAGATTTAGGGTACAAACTGCATTCTGGGAGAAGATGCCCCATTCTCACAGGGTATTGTCTCTTAACTGGTATCTCAGCTGTGCTTTCAAAAGTCCTTTATGTCACTCTCTTGGGCCAGCAACTTCCGGATGGTACAGTATATAGAAGGATCATCCTGAGCTCTCTTCCATGCCTACTTTGTTAAATGAGTCCTTTGATCTGATGAGATGCTATGTAGGATCCCATGTCATTAGATCAAACCTTCTGTGAACATCTGGATGGTGGTGTTGGCTTAAAGCCCTGAAGAGCGGACAGACAACCCATATTCCAAAGACTATTGATTTCAGTCAAGGTGAATCACTGTCCCTTTCAGAATGGAAACGATGTAAGGCAATCAACTTATCAGCAAGCCACTAATTAGTCTCTTCAAATGAGTGTTGGTCTCTGTTGCTGGAAGTTTAGATGTTTAGCTGCTGAAGTAGCTATATTAACCTTTGTGAGTGAAAGCCCCTGCTGTTTTTTCCATGGTTTTCTGCAACCTTGGCTACTCTGGTCATTGTACTACTGATAGATGTTGGGTGACATCAACTATCTGGTTGTTTATCCAAGGGAGGCTTTGAAGATATACCTAATACAAAGGACAGCTAAGGAGGTGGGATAAGCCAGACTTCCTGTACTGCTGTAAACAGATTATTGCTCTATCCTCTGAGAGAAGGGAACCAGAGCCAGGGAAATGCACAGGTGGGAGGGACCTGAAATATCTAGTACTTCCTCAGGATGACTGTGCCTGAGACTTTTCAAAAGAAAAAGACACATGGAGTTGTGCAGCTTTAAGTTGGGAGGGCAAGGATTTGAATGAAGACTTCCTGGACATGTTTAAATTTGCAGGTGATAGAATCCAGAGAGGATAAGGCCACTGTAGCAGGAAGGGAGTCATGGCTTCCAAGAAGCACTGCATATCGAGTTCAGAATAATTGTTTCAGAACTGATTTCTCTAAGTTCGTAAAGATATTAGATGTATCCTTTTGTTGCCCACCTCCAAGAAATCAACTTAATGTGGTTTTGTAAAAAATAGAATCTAGTAGAAAATTATTGGAATGTACTTTAGAAGCCAAAGTTCAGGAATGTGGACGTGGCCATGACTTTGAAAAAAATAGAAATGAAGAACTGGGAACACACTGAATGCCCCATCATCACTTGGTTTTGCTTTTGTCTCATTCCCCCTGCCCTCTCCTCTTTCTTTCCTCTTACAGTCCACATGTCACACATGAACCCAAGTTTTCATGCTGTGGATCCAGTGACCAATGATAATCTCCAAAAGCCAGCAGAAAGAATCAGATTGGTCTAGATAGTGTCACTGTCACCCAGCATAAACATGAGTGATTTGCCCTGGGCATGAAGAAGAGGAAAGGCTAGAAAAAATGTCCCCCAAAACAGGATTGTGGTTCATAGGCTAGAAATTCACCCCAAAAGGTGCTACAAGATAAATCTGCTGATCCCGTTAAAAGTATAGTATGAAACTTTATCTTCAAGTGTCATAAAACTTCCTTGGAGAAGTTATTTAACTTATTTCATTAAAAATAAAAATGTTCCTTTATTAATTGGGTGGTTACCCTTTGCCAGAAACTGTGATTTGTATTTTTTTTTTACATATGTACACACTAATCCTGACAATGACTCCATGGGGTTGGTTTAATTATTTCCACTTCACAAATCAGGAACCCAAGGAACTATAAGATTAAATAATTCTGCTACATGCTTGAAGTTACACAGGCATTACTCCATGTTCATCTGGCTCCAAAGTCCATAGTCTCAACCAAAAGGATAATTATAAGCACATGTGAGCCATTATTTCCATTGTCCAATCTCAGATCCTGAAGAGAGAGAAAAAACTGAGTTTGACCATCAGGATCTGGATGGTAGCAAAAAAATCCTGGAGGGGAATAAAGAAATTCTGAATATAATCTTAGCATTGTAATGATTTATCTAAATGAAGAAAGCTAGAGGTTGTCTTCTTGGTCCATATTATGTAGAGTTTGACCAGTATTGACAAATTACTTGGAGAATTTGGCTAGGAACAGATGTGCTCTGTGTATGGTAAGAGAAGAAAAGTTACTCAAAATTGGCTTTAAGATATAAAGCAGGAAAGAATTAAAAAGAGAACAATCTGAGCTCCTATAGTCAAAGGGGTTAAATGATGTGATTCAGGATGTGTCTTTCTGTCCATCATTTTCCAAAATAGTCACTTGGCTTTCAGTTTAGACACTAATTTAATGACTTTTTACATTGTCATGTTGCCTACTGTAAAGTAGAATGAACAGAAAACAACATAAATAGTACTTATATGTGCCAACTAGTCTGTACAAGAATAAAAGAGAAGTCTATTTTTTAACAAAGTATTTTATTGCTTACTTATAAAAATAAATTACAATCGTTACTTATCCTTGATTCTAAGTGTAATCATCATTTTCATTCTAAAGAGTTGATATTCAGTCCTCAGTCACAGTTTGGAAAATATTGTGTGGGACCATTGAACAGGTCTATGCTTAGTAGAGATCATTTCCCAGGGGACCTCTCATCTTCACCGAGGGAAGCATTCCTGACTTACCAGTTTCTTTACAGCAATCTTCACATCCTTGTTTCTGAGGCTATAGATGATGGGATTCAACATGGGGGTCAACACTCCATAAAATAGGGAGATGAGTTTGTCTGAAATATCTTGCTTATCTGCTCCCAAGGGGTCCTTTGATTTGGGCTTTGCATACATGAAAAGAATAGTCCCATAGAAAATTACCACCACAGTAAGATGAGCAGAGCAGGTAGAGAAGGCCTTTCGCCGCCCCTCAGCTGAGGGGATCCTCAGGATGGTGGTGAGTATAAAGATATAGGAGACAAGGATGAACAGAACTGGGACCCCCAGGAAGATCACGTTGGCTACTCCCATGCTGATCACATTGATGGAGATGTCGGCACAGGCCAACTTTAGGACTGCCAAGATCTCACAGGTGAAGTGGTTGATGACACTGTCCCCACAGAAGGGCAATTGTACTGCAAGAGAGATCTGCACCAAAGAGTTGGTTCCACCAGCCACCCAGGAGCTGATGGCCATGGGCACATAGGCAGCCTTACTCATGATCACAGAGTATCTAAGGGGGTTGCAGATGGCCACATAGCGATCAAAAGCCATCATGCCCAGGAGCACACACTCTGTGGCCCCCATGGCAAAGGAGAGAAACATCTGCACAGCACAGCCTGAGAAAGAAATGGTTTTCCTGGGAGTGAGGAAACCATCTAAGACCAGAGGAATGGAAGAGGTTGTGTAGCAGATGTCCAGGAAGGACAGGTTCCCCAGGAAGAAGTACATGGGTGTGTGCAGGTGGGAGTCAAGGATGGTCACCAGGATGAGGATGCCATTGCCCAGCAGGATCACCAGGTATGTGAGCAGGATGAGCACAAAGAATGTTTTCTCCAGTCTTGGCTGATCTGACAGCCCCAGCAAGACAAATTCGGTCACAATGGACTGGTTTGCCTCTTCCATTTTAAACGCTCTCTCCCACTCTCAGGAAAACTGAGGATAGTGCACACATGTTTATTGGGATCAGTATGTTTAGAGATGAGGCCCTTTTATAGCTGAGTTGACTAGTAAAGTCACTGTAATGTTGTTAGTAATGCTTTCTCCAGAGCAATGCAGACAATTCTACCGAGCCTTACAGAGGGATTGCTTAAAGGGGTCATTGTGTATAGAATGCACTTTGGTCACTGTAGAACCATGGACCCAGTGTATTAGAGAAAATCAATTACAATGAAATTTTCCTAGAACTTATAGGACCCTTTGAGATGCCAACTTAGATCATCATTCAAAAAATAAAATCCACTATCTACTGAAGTTACCTTCAAAGTTAGGATATATCAGCTGGGTGTGGTGGAGCACATCTATAATTATAGTGACTTGGGTGACTGAAGCAGGAGAATCTCAAGTTCAAGACCATTCTGGACAACTTAGCAAGACCCTGTCTCAAAATTTAAGATAAAAATGGGGCTGGGGATGTGGCTCAAGTGGTAGCGCGCTCGCCTGGCATGCGTGCGGCCCGGGTTCGATCCTCAGCACCACATACAAACAAAGATGTTATGTCTGCCGATAAATAAAAAATAAATAAATATTAAAAATAAATAAATATTAAAAATTATAAAAAAAAATTTAAGATAAATAAATAAATAGAGCTGGGGATGTAGCTCAATGGTAAAAATATTATTGAGTTCAATCCTCTGTGTGTGTGTGTGTGTGTGTGTATCAGAATATATCAGTCAAAGCAGGACAAACATCCCCTGGAAATCTAAGCAACCATGATCTATGAAAAACCTGTAGTCAGTTCAGTAGAGTTAACACACTTGAAGGAAGAAATATGTGCAGCCCTTTATTTGTGTCTATGTGAAAATCATAAAAGAGGAAACTTGAGGATGCTGCATTGTTCCCAAAATGACCAGGGAAGTGGACTCTCCCAGCTAGATCTGCCTGTCCCTGAATTGTCCCTGTAGTACACTTGAGGGCTTCAAGCTGTCACACTCAGAAATGTTGGTCTCTGACATCATCTCACTCACTTCTCTGGTCAAAGTCTATGAATGTTTAATAATTTTCTGATTCAGCTTCACTAGGAATCTTACATGGAGAGAACTTAATGAGCAGAGGCCAGGAAGATTGGGGTCTACTTAGAATCTATATTTGTTACATTGTCCATAGTACTGCAATTTCCCCAGTCTGCTCCAGACCCCTGAAAGAACAGAAATAGAATCCTCATGCCTCTAAGGGTGACTTTTGTAACTTTTTGACTGAACTATGTGTTTTTGGAGATGTTTTCTAAGTTACAACTTCTAAATCAGGTTCTTATATATCTGAATTGACCATTTAAAGCCACTGTAATGCCATTGTCAAGTTTTTTCCACAACAAAGCAAATAATTCTACCCATCCTCACAGAGAGCTTACTTGAAGAAGGTGCCCCATGTAGAGTGTACTTTGTGTCACTACAGAAGCGAGGGCAGAGTACATTAGAAAAAAAAGAGACCTCAAGCCTTGGCTTCTTGGGTCAAAAATGAGGAAACTGAAGTTCAGAGAAGATCACAAGTAGCCAGGACAGGGCCAGGTGGTTCTTCATCTTCTCCCTAGGGATCCTTTCATCACCACTCTGATTCTTGTTCTTCTGTTCGTGCCAGAGTGTTTCCACTGGGGATTAAAGGATGAATTATGAAGTCTCGGTCATTCTTGGTTTCCCTAAGACATTCATGAAAAATAGAGGTATCCCACCTTTCTCCAAGATATCTGTCTAATGTCAGCTGCACACATTGCATCTGTGACTATTGTACTGTCTCTGGTAGAGGAAGACTGGGTAAGTGAAATCAGACACAGTTTGAAGCTATCCTCACGCATTTATCAGCAATCAACTGTAGGCACCAGGCGTATTGGGAGAAAAGAGATCTGTTTTCAGAGATATTAGTACTACTGACTGGAGAATCTAAGACTTGGCTGGAATGTTGCAAAGTAACTTGTCTTGAGAAGGGAAACCTCCCTCTCCGCCACTGTGTGACTACCCTCCATGAAACGCTTCTGCTCTGAACACCTTGAGTTGTGTGGAACACACATCTCCCACGTTTTTTTCAGGCAGCCTTGATTATTAGAAAGCTTGTTCTCACATTGAACAGAAACTTCCTTCTTCTAATGTCATTCCCCATGTGTCCCCTCACTCTATCTTGTCCCCACACTAGACTCCTGGTACATGCCGTCTCCCTGTCCACTATAAAGGACCTTCAGAGAAATGGAAGCTGGGACTAAGTACCCACCTTGGATTCCATTTGTCCTTGCATTCCACCTTTGCTCTTCTCACCTACCTGGAGAAGCTTTGGTGACAGAGAGAACAGGTCTATGTCCATTGTGGAGATAAATCCATGATGCAAAAGTGAGCTCTCTCATATAGAAGGTTTCATGGCAAGAAAGGTGCTCAGGCCTCTGGGATTGGGAAGTGGTTATTTCAACTGCCCACCTCAATCATCCCTGGTCCTGTTCAGTCTTTGGAGGCTAGAAATATACAATAAATTCTGTTTAAGTGTCTTGGAACTGAGCAGTCCCTTCAAATTGCACCATAAGGTAAAGAAAATTTAGGATTGGCAATAGCTGGAGAAGTTCTAGCTCCTCGACTTCTGGGCTTCTTCATGCCCAATGCGAAACAAAAAGAAGGTCAACTCGAGGATCCACTTCCCAGCTTCTCCTGGCAGTCATACCTGGCCTGCATAGCCAGGTACTTTCTGTTCTTTGTCCTTTACTCTGCTCTCCAGAGGTTCTACCAAGGTGCTATGGAGCCATTTAGAGTTCTAGTTGTTTGGGGCCCAATTTTAATCCCAGAAGCAATTTAAAGTTTGGTGAAAGGCCTCACAGGAGTTTAGGGCCTGTGTCCCATATAAACCCAATTAGGGAAGTTTAAGACAGGTCTATGTAAATCTTAACTCTAACTACAGAGGAATGTTTCTTAGAGGAGAAAGTACCCCTCCCCCCCACACACACACCCAGGCTTGCTGGTCTTCTAGGAAATAGATGAAATAACTCAGGTCTGATTGTGTCCTGACCACAATATTGTATCTTTCTGAGGGGGCTCTGCCTTTGTCTTTGCAAAGATAAGTATCAAAACAAGAAGGAGGTTTGCCAAGGCTGAGAGAGAGACTTGGTCATCCAAATGCTCCCTATGTAGCTGGTCTCCCTGAAGTTCCTTAGCACATCTCCAGAGCTGACCAAACCTGGCCTTATCCTTGAAAACAGGAGGAAGAGGGCATGCTCCATGAGCCAGCACCAGTCACTAGAAGGAGAGCAGAAATGACCAGATCATGGCTTCTCACCCCCAAAAGATGAGATGATTGCCTAATGCCCTAAACTTTTATGGGAGACCAAGAGTAGGGAAGAGTCAGAGGAGAACGGTCAGATGCAAGGGCATTATGGAACCCTATCAGAAGAAGACATTATGGGGCATAGGGCCAGATCACAGATAAAGAGAAGGCTGAATTAAGGGCAAAGTTTTACAACTAAGAGAGAGAAACAAACAAAATCAAAACAAGCCGGGTGTGGTGGTGCTTGCCTATAATCCCAACTACATTATGAGGCTGAGGCAGAAGGATCACAAGTTGCAGGCCAGCCTGAGCAACTTAGTGGAGACCCTGTCTCAAAAAAAAAAAAATTTAAAGGGCTGGGGATGTAGCTCCAAGTACATTAGATTATTAGAAAGCTTGTTCTCACATTGAACAGACAATTGTTAAAATCTAGGCAGGAAGACAATTGTTAAAATCTGGGCTTGATCCCCAATAATGCAAAAGAACTAAACAACCAAAAAGATAAAGAAGATGGAAATTGGAGGGTAGTATTTAAAACAGCATAGTAGACTGGGGACTAAAAGAATGTTTTGTCAAAATATCCTCTAGCTATCCCCTTACTCTGTGCCAGGCACTGGGGTGGTTACTGAGGTTGAGATAAACATGTCTTTCCTGTATTGAAGAGTGTGTGGATTAGTGGACATGGAGGGGTTTGACTTTAAGTGGGACAATGATATCAGTAGTGGCTCCATGTTGTTTTTATTTTGCGGGTGGTGGGGGGTAACCAGGGATTGAACTCAGGGGCTCTCTACCACTGAGCCACATCCCCAGTCCTAGTTTGTATTTTATTTAGAGACAGGGTCTCACTGAGTTGCTTACTGTCTTGCTTTTGCTGAAGCTGGCTTTGTACTTGGGATCCTTCTGCCTCAACCTCCTGGGCTGCTGGGATTACAGGCATGCGCCACTGTGCCCAGCAGCTCCATGTTTTGAGAACAATAGAATTGGCTTTAACCAGTATCTCTTTAACTGGCTTCCCAGATTAACTAACTACCCATTCCCTGTGCAAAACGTATGACCCAACACCCAAATCAGGTGGCAGGATTCCCAACACATCTGCTTAGTACTAAAAGAGGTGCTTTTGTTTGTTCTCAGACTGCTCTAGCCAATTGTTAATTTTATAGTTACATTAGTTTAATTTAATTTCTGCAAACTGAGCTAAAAAGAGGGTGGAAAGAGTTATTTTCATGGGAACTAAGGTCGAATGCTTTGTATAAATTTATTAAAGGGAAGTTATTAAAATAAAGTGCTGTCATATCAAATGTCAGGAAGACAATTGTTAAAATCTAGGCAGATTCTGCATGCTGATCCTTTTGAAAAATACTAACTTCCTACTCTACTTTAAGGAAATTAAAAACTGCAGACAACATGCCATGTTATGATTTACTTATGACTCCAACTAGTGGACTTATAAGCAAGAAAAAGCCCTCTCTGCATAAAAGATAGGCAATGAAGTCCAGTTATGTTTAAGCTTAAAATAAAATGTTCAAGGCAGTGGTTCTCAAACTTTAATCTCGTTTTGAGTGGTTCTCAAAATTTAATCCCTTAATATTCTTCAAATATTTCTTTTCTTTTTTTTCTGCCCCTTCTGATATTCCTATTATGCATAAATTACACCTTTTGTAGTTGTCTCATAGTTCTTGGATATACTTGTGTTTTTGCTTTGTTTTGTTTCAGTCATTTCTTTCTTTGCTTTTTAGGTTTGAAATTTTCTGTTGACATACTCTTAAGTTGGGAGATGCTTCCTTAGCCATGTTCCATCTACTACTGATGACCCCATTGAGGTATTATCCACTTCAGTTATAGTGTTTTGGACATCTAGCCTTTCCCCCCTTTTTTTTTTTTTTTAATCCTTAGGATTTCCATCTCTCTGCTTAGATTTTTCTTTTTTTCCCTTGTTGTCAACCTTTTCCTTTAGAGTTCTTAACATATCAATTATAGCTATCTTATAATTCCAATAACCCTGCCATCTCTGAGTCTGGTTCTGAGACTTGGTCTGTCTTCAAACTATACTTTTTGCCTTTTGGCATGTATTGTAAGTCTTTAGCATGTGTTTATAATATATGCTTAAAATAGGCCTTACATGCAGTAAATAGGCCTTAGTGATGTGGTGGTAAGATGTCCAGGGAGGGTAAATGTTTCATAATCCTAAAAACAGGTCTTAGTCTTTTAGGGAGCCTGTGTCTCTGGGCTCTCATCTTCACAAGGGCCTCTCAGTCCTCCCATGTCACTCAGGTAGGACAGGATATTTAGAACTGGCTGGATGGAGTTGGGTCTCTAGTGAAATAGAAATAAACCAGATGCTATGAGAAACATAAAATTAGAACAGAAATCATGTGCCCTGGGGGAGAGTCAAAGCAAAAGGTATGAGTAGCTAGGGAATCTCAAGGAATATTCACTGTGCAAACATTAGGAATTACATGTTCTTACAGGTCATATACCCATCAGTAATAATAACAATAATAACAGTAAGAATGATGGATGTTGTTTTTTAGTTATCTACCATGTGTTGGGCACTGTGCAGATATGCATTCTCTCATTTTAATTTAATGCTGGCAAGAAGCCAATGAAGTAGGTATTTTTATTTACATTACAGAAATGAGGAAATAGGTTCAGAAAGTTTAGTCATTCTACAATGCATACTTACATAAAAACATCAAGTTGTATAACACACACACACACACACACTCACACACACAAAATATTTACTTGTCGATTAAAACAAATTTTTAAAAGATTGCTTGGAGCTGAGTTTGTAGTTCAGTGGTAGAGTGCTTATCTAACACCCTTATGGGAGGCCCTGGGTTCCATCTCTAGCACTGCGAAAAAATAAACAAACAAAAACAAAGTAAAAAGATTGTCTCTTTTAATGTCTCTTTTTGAGTATAAAGCTAAATCATTTCTTCTAAAAAAAAAAAAAAAGAGAGAAAAAAAATGATGAGCTCTAGAGAACGTTTGGGCAGCCCTGAAGCCCCTGGTTGTCATGTACAAGGCCAGCTGCCGCCCACTATTTGCTCACATAAATCAATAAATTCAATCATTTGTTTAAGCTGGCTCAACTTTGGGTTTCTCCTGCTTACAAATAAAAATGATTAATGAATAAAATTGATTAAATATGATCAGTCTCAAGGCCATTATGGCCAGAGAGGACACCAAATGTTATCACAGTAAAGTGGGATGGTATCCATACTTCAGGTCAATGGGGAGTCCATTTGCAGCTTAGATCAAATAAGAAAGGGACAATTTCTGTCAGAAATATTGGACACTACCTTCCCCTTTGGTATAGCATAGAACAAAGGTTACACATTGAAGTAGAGGACTCAAGTATAGAAAAAAAGCTCTGGAGTTGGCCAGGGAGCAAAAAGATCAAGCCTTAGACAGAAGCAGCTCTAGGCAGGTAAGTAGTATTTTGCTAAGACCTGCTTAGTCAGAGATCTTTGATGACACAGAACAGAGAACCTTTCAAGTAATCCTTAACTGGGGCCAGGAGGTGAGACCCAGTTAGTATGGAATTATGGTGTACCTGCTGAGCAGGCTCAGGGGTTGGGAAGTTTCTCTTATAAGTGGATGAAGGGGAGGCAGCAAGCAAGTAGTGAACTTTGAATTGGAGTCTGGTGTCTATCAAAAGCAATTGATAAGTACTGGTATTAAAAGGAGGTAGGACACTCTGCTAATAAAAAGGTCCTGGGTACTAATTATTCCTTTGTGAGAAGGAGATGGACATTGGTATCAAAGTTCTTTGTGCATCTTTGTAATCCTTACAACACCATTTTTCCTTGTTAGACCAGGGGAAACGCACAGAGATCTCACTTATAATGTGTGGACTCAGCTGGTTCTCCCAAAGGTGTTGTCCTTTCCATGGAGACTGGAAACAATCCCTGACGATACCTAGTTGGAGACATCTGTGGCCCATAGACTACCTCAGGCCTTGAGCTAAAATTTGCATGGTCTCTTAGGAAAAAGTTTCAGCCCTCACTTACACCCGCTGCAGAAGTCCATTGGCCACACAAAATGTCCTATCTCTGAGCACCAAGTTGGGGCAAGAGAAAGCTAAAAGGTAATTGGGGAAAGGTACTTTACTGAGTACCTATATGCAAATTACTTTTCTAGGTGACACAGAAAATATTACCTGGAATTATCAAGTCCCTCCTAAGACTGTCCCAAACCTGGGCACTTTTACTTTTGAAGGTCCTAACTCATATCATGTCAAAATGAACTTTTATCTCATTTCAATTTCATGGTAAATTTTAAATGTATTTTTCTATTTATGTTGTTAAAATTGTTTGGCTTACAAGTGACTGAATTTACAATTCTATGCTTTCTCAACAAGTTTTATGAAAACACAGGAATTCTTGCAAAGTGAAATTAACCTAATTTACAGATTGTTTTAAAATAATGATGTATGAATATAAACATTTATTCATTATTAATGAGGCTGAGATAATGTGCCACTTAGTAGACATATAGATAATCACAAGGGTTTTTTTTTTTTAGGATTTTGTTTTGTTTTTTGTAATCAGGTGCCAACATGTTTTCTAGACCGCAAACATCTTTGCCCTTAAAGAAGATGCCATAGAACTGATTACTGCACCCTTTCTCCCTGCTTATTCTCTGTGTAGGAGTTGAAACACTTATAAGTATGAATTAAGATCCATTTATGGAAGTGAAAATTAAAGGAATTTACTTTAGCAAATACTTTTTAGGGCACATTTGTTTCTTTGAACAAAAGCAATTCAGTGAGCTTCTTTCCTTGGGAGTCAGGGTATAGGCCACGCCAGAAAAGGACCCACAGCAATGATATGAATGAAAACCTGCTGTTCACACTTCTGTGCTGAGAACGTTGTTCCCTGTCAGAGGTTGAGCTCCCCAGATGCTGACTCTAATGGGGAAATTGTCCTGCAGAATGTTTACTGGAAGCTCTCTTCAGATCAACATCTACCGGGATGGGCAAAGGAAGCAGGGCTGTGCAGAGGGAGGACATAAGCCACCATGGGGAAGCTCTTGAGCTGGGAGGCAGGATGACTGGGTGAGGTAGTTCTCTTTAGCCCAGAATAACCCCGAATACTTAGCTGAATGCTGTCAGCCACCCACATGCCCAGCAGCTAGGGTAACAAGTTCTTCAGCCCTACGTAGGGATGGGGATCTAGGCAGCACACCACAGCATTCACTACACACTCTTACCATCCAATACTTCTTAAAGTTTAATGTGCATGCAAATCACCTGAAGGATCTTGTTAAAACAAAGATTCCAACTCAGTATGTCTGCAATGGGCCCTAAAATTCTGTATGTCAAATAAGCTTCCACATGATGCTGACATTGCTGGTCCATGGGCCACACTGTGAATGGCGTGGCTGTAAAGGCAGCTTTCCCCTCACTTAGGTTTGCTTTGCATTGAGATTCTCAAGTGAGAGCCATCCAACTCCATGGATCATGAAATATATTCCACCATCACTGGATGAGGCATTTCTGAGATACTAGATCCTTCACAGCGGCCTTCACATCCTTGTTCCTCAGACTGTAGATGATGGGGTTCAGCATGGGGGTCAGAAGTCCATAGAAAAGAGAGATGAGTTTGTCTGTGAGGTCCTGCTTGTCAGCCCCCAGTGGGTCCTTGGACTTGTGCTTTCCATACATGAAGAGAATGGTCCCATAGAAGATGATCACCACAGTAAGGTGGGCAGAGCAGGTAGAGAAGGCCTTTTTCCTTCCCTCAGCTGAGGGAATCTTTAAGATAGTGGTGAGTATGAAGATGTAGGAGACAAAGATGAACAGAACTGGGACCCCCAGGAAGATCACATTGGCCACCCCCATGCTGATCACATTGATGGAGATGTCGGCACAGGCCAACTTTAGGACTGCCAAGATCTCACAGATGAAGTGGTTGATGACATTGTCTCCACAGAAGGGCAATTGTACTGCAAGAGAGATCTGCACCAAAGAGTTGGCTCCACCAGCCACCCAGGAGCTGATGGCCATGGGCACATAGGCAGCCTTACTCATGATCACAGAGTATCTAAGGGGGTTGCAGATGGCCACATAGCGATCAAAAGCCATCATGCCCAGGAGCACACACTCTGTGGCCCCCATGGCAAAGGAGAGAAACATCTGCACAGCACAGCCTGAGAAAGAAATGGTTTTCCTGGGAGTGAGGAAACCATCTAGGACCAGAGGGACTGAGGAGGTTGTGTAGCAGATGTCCAGGAAGGACAGGTTCCCCAGGAAGAAGTACATGGGCGTGCTCAAATGGGTGTCAAGGATGGTCACCAGGATGAGGATGCCATTCCCCAGCAGGATCACCAGGTACATTGACAGGATGAGCACAAAGAATGTTTTCTCTAGTTTTGGGTGGGCAGAGAGGCCAAGCAAGATAAATTCTGTCACAGTAGACTGGTTGGATGCTTCCATTTCAAACTCTCTCTTTCCTCCCTAGGAATATGGAAGGCAGAAAAATACATGTTTTCTGTTTGGCTTGCTTGAGTCAATGCATGGGGATTACAGCATAATGTCTTTATTATTATAGATAAATCTGAGATTCAACTTAAAAAAAAAAAACAAGTTATCTACAAGCCAGGCTATGTAGTAGACTTTGGAAAAGTATACCTTGGAAATTTAATGAAATTTAATAAAATGAAGGACACTTTGTGTAATTGATGATATTAATATAGCTAATGAAATGTCATATATCTACATGTGCTGTCTCCAGCACTTTGTAGGGAAGCAGGGACCTCTGAGTAACTCTTGTGTCTGCTATAAAATTGGAGACCTTGGGCTGTCACATTGAGGTCACAGGGCCCATTCCTCTGGATTTGGTTCCTTCTCACTCAGCAAGTTTCTGTTATAATCTGGCTTCCCACACTATCTTACATGGAGAGAATGTACTAGATCGAAAATACAAAATTGCTTATCTCCCTAACAGTTTTATTTCTGACGTATACTGCACTTCTTTGTGAGTTTAGTTAATGTACATCAGTTCAAATGATCGTGACTCTCTTCTCTATAAAATCTGACCAAATTGAATTTCTGGAACCTATAACATGGAGTCCCCACCAAAGTCTCCAGAAATGTAATCTGGAGAGAAGAATTCCTCCTGTAAGCACATCTGACTGCCTGCATCTTTGCTACTCCAGGTCTTGGCCAGAGAAATAGAATCTTACCTAATTGTTGGAGCCCACTCAAAATTCACAACCCCAGCTTGGGTTAGATGGGGCCTTGAGTCACAACCACATCAAATTTGGAAAGAAATGTCATCCAATGCCATTTGGAGGTTTTGCAGACATGTTCACATGCAAATCTGCTCAACCTCCCAGGACCAAAATCTACACTGGAGACTATCAAAATTCTGCTGCCAGAGAGATTCAGAAAACAAGTGTCATCAGACCTAGGGCACAATGACATGGAGTTGTATCCCTAATAGCTCTCCCAATGATGATTGAAAATACTGATTTCTGGGTCCTTCCTTTACAGATTGCCTTGGCAATCTGTTTTAATTTTGTTTATTTGTTTTATTTATTTTTTAAAATAAAAAGTTCCTATGTACGTCAGATGTACACCAGAAATCACTGACCAATTTCAGTCCCACTCAGTTTCAAGGTAGAGAAACTGAGGACAGGTGAAGGGTTTATACATGGCCCTGAAGAAAGGGGGCTTTTTTTCTAATTGGCAATGATACAATATTCAGAAGAATTTATCTCAAGCTATCAGGGATTAAGAGATGAAGCAGAATCTGAACTTGATAGAATTCTTACATATTAAACCAGACCAGTTCCTACCCACAGTACCAGGGATCCCCTTTCCCTAGGTGAGTTCTCAGCCTCAGCTGAATGTTTTGAACAGTGAAGGCTCCGGGAAAGGTTATTAGGAAACTGGGCTGTCAGAGTTCTTCAGAGATCTGAAATCTGCCTTTTTCCTACTTCTCTCTTTTTCCACTGGGCCTAAGTGTGCCTTCTGGCCTTGTGCAAAACAGACCTGTTCTTTTGTCACAGTTACAGCCTTCAAAGCTCTGGAAATAGTTGTCTTATTGCCTGATCCATCCCTATTCCCAGCCCCCTCCCTGCACCCTTAGCACAAGACCTCTTCTTCCCATCACACCAAATGGTAAAAAGTTGGCCATGGCTAGAAATAGTGTTCTTGTTGCCCGACCCACCCAGCACTCACCCAGCTTGGGGACCAATCCAGGCTGCATCTATTGCTCGCAGGCAAGCAGGCTAATGGAGCTGAGAGGTTGCTGGTTTACTGGTGTCAGGACAAGAAGCTGGCTCTAGTGTTACCTGTCCATCTGGATGTCACCTATCCATAACCTAGGATGCCATACAGAGCACATCTATCAGATCTACCCTGGGAATAACAGGGTGCACCATGATGACATAGTATTTACCCTTTAACTGTTGTCTCACTCCCCAATGTCTCAGAATGACCCCGAGTGTAGAGAGGTCCAAGGTACAGCCACAGCCCCAGAAACCTTGCCTGACCTTGGGACTCAGTAAAACAAGAAGACAAGTCTGAATCTCAAGCCGGAGGCTCAACAAGGAGCCCCAGCCTGGAGGAGGCTGTACCCAGGGCAAGCTGGGCCTGGCATCCTCTTTTCTCTGTGCCCCATGCTGCTCTCCTCAGGGTCCCATAAAGACTCTCTCAGGAACTTAAGGCCAGGTTGCTTTGGGGCTGGAAACTATCCCAGAAGCAATTTAAAGTTTGGTGAGTGATTCAGAAATTAGACATTACCCAATAGACCCAATTAAGCAATGTTGTAAACCTACCAAAGCTCCCCTCTTACTACAAGAAGACTTCAGCTTAGAAAGTTTTCCAGTACAAGGTATTCAGAAATCTCCTGGGCTTTATCACAATGATGAATTCAAAGTGGCTCTGTCACTGATTCATGAAGAGTCTAGAAGGGAAGAAGAGCTGGTCTCAGCTGGTCTCAGGAACTCTGGGGTAGACCCATTCCTCAGCCACCCAAGCATCTTCTCCCCTCCATCCAGTGACCCAGTGACTCACCCATGGCCGTCTCTGTCTCTCACTGCTACTAGCCTTCCCATCATTCCAATCTCCATGCTCCAAACATCTCATATGTACCTAGTACCTGGCACTAGAGAGTTAGTGTAGAAGGTGGACATGATGATCAGAAACGGATCTTTGTCTCTGGAAAACGCCCAGTAGAGTGAAACTATCTGTAAACCAAAGCATGACTGAGAGTGCCACAAAGCTGTTCAGGAGGCTGGGCACAGCAGGGGTATGTGGAACTAGCCCAGGATGAGAATCACAGAGATTGAGGAGACAGTGACCCTAGATCCATTTAGAATTAAGAGGTTATAGGATTTAGAAAGAGATCTAGGACAGGATACACAGGAGACAAAAGAATCAACAATGACTATAATTCCTGCTGGGTTCAGGACTATTATACCCAAACATAGCATCTTGGCATATGGAATGTTTTAAGCTGAATGAATTTGAGAAACAGCTTGGATCTGAAATGTCTCCTAAAGGCCCATCATTAAAGGCATGGTCCCCAACTTGACACTATTGTGAGGTGGTGGCAACTTTAAAATGTGGGGCCCAGTGGTTTGTCTTCTGGTCACTGCACTATGCCCTTGAAGAGGACAGTGGAGCCCCACCTTTTCCTCTTTCTACCTTTCACATCCTGGCCACGATGCTCTGCCACGGGCCCCCAAACAACAGGGTCAACTAACCGTGGATTGAAACCTCCCAAACTGTAAGTCAAAATAGACCACTATATAAGTTGATTGTCCCAGATATTTTGTCACACAGTAATAGAAAGCTGAGTAACAAAAACAACATGTGTAAGAAGGTTTCTGTTATAGTTAGATATGAGGTGTTCCCCAAAGCTCAGGTGTGAGACAATGCAAGAAGGGTCAGAAGGGAAATGATTAGATGATGAGAGTCATACTGCCCTTTGTATACCTGGAGTAAGAGGACATGTTTATCTCCAAAGATCAAAAGGAATCTAAGCACATAGGCCAGGCTGTTTCTCTAGCTTACCATACTTAGCTGCTTCTTTTTTTGCCTTATATTTCACCACTACTTTCTGTTTTTCAAGAAACCTACTATAAAGAATACTCAGGCTGGGCACAATGGTGCACACCTGTCATCCCAGCAATTGGGAGGCTGAGGCAGGAGTATTGCAAGTTTGATACCAGTCCAGGAAACTTAGTGAGATCCTGTCACAAAATAAAAAATAAAAAAGGCCAAGGATGTAGCTCAGTGGCAGAGTGCCACTAGTTCAGCCCCCAGTTACACCCACACACTCATACACACAAGAACTCAGGTTTAACTACTTCTTAGGGTCTTCATTTTTTAAAGGAAGGCTCCTATATTATGTTGAATAAATTTTTATGCTCTTCTCTTATTATTCTCTTTTCTTATAAGGCCCTAACCAATGAACCATAGATGGTTGGGTGCACACCAAGTCCTAAGAACTGGAAGAAAGCTGTGGAGAAGAGAGGTGAACCTGTCTGGCCTGGTGTGAGGGTTAAGGGTAGCTGCCAAGTTGTGACTGACATTTCAGTATGAAGTTTCTGTACATTTACTATGTCCAGCTCTTTTCCTAGAAATAAAGATATAACTAAGAAATAGTTTTATGACTGAAAATTTATGGTCAACTGGTTTATTATATTTGAGATACTGGTGAGACATTAATATTAATAAGAGTTGCCGCAGATGTACACCTGTTTCCCAAATCTTACCTTACTGTATGATCCCAACAACCCTATTAGGTAAGTATGAGGGTACAATAGTGTGATATAATAAAAATATATGCATTTGCTCTTTATACCTAGTTTCTGCCAGAGAGTTCCTAAAACCCTTGTAATTTCCTGAGTGATGGGGAAATGTCTTTTGTTATTCATTATAAGCCTCTTTTCTCCATGCCTGAGTTTATGCTAATGAGGAACACTTGGTGGGCCCACAGGTAGCTTCCGGATGGGGGCTTGTGCCAGAGAAACAGATCATGTGATCAGAGTGCCACAATGTTCAGCCCCACTGACTGAAGAGAGCAGAGCCAGCTGGAGAACAAGTTCAGTCGCCAATGACCAATGATTTAATTGATGTGCCAACTGTTGCAAAAAGTCCCAACCAAAGGTTTTAGGAGAGCTTCCAGGTTGAACACATGGAGGTGCTGGAAGGGTGGAACCCCCAGAGAGGGCACAGAAGTTCCTTGCCCTTTTCTCCATAGCTTGTCCTATGTAGCTCTTTCATTTGGCAATTCTTGAGTTGTCTTCTTCATAAACTGGTAAATGAAAGTAAAGCATTTTCCTGAGTTTTGTGAGCCAGTCTAGCAAATTTTTAAATCTGATGAGGGCATTGTGGGAACATCCCTGCCCATATACCTAGCTGTCAGAAGTATGGTGGCCTGCACTTGTGATTGGCATCTGAAGTGGTGGCAGTTTTAAGAGATTGGGCCTTCAACCTGTGGGATCTGTGTCAATACCAGGTAGTCCGCATGAGAATTAAATCAGTACACCCAGTTGGTGTTCAGAGAGCTGGAGAACTGGAAAAAAATTAAAACCCCACATACTTGGTGTCAGAAGTGTTGTATAAACAATAGAGCCTAGTAGGAGGATACTCTGATTGTGAGCAGGTGGAGGGAGCATCCTACACTGGGCCCTAGCACCTTGCATCCATGATGTCTACCATCTTTGACCTCTGCCCTCTGAATGCCAGGAACTCCCCCTCCATCACATTTGATTTCCTTAAAGGTTGAGGGATGTTGTGGGACCCACAGGAGAACAGTGATAGAGTCGGGCCTCACAGTTGGACAAGTGCTACAAGGTCAGTCAGAAACTAAGTGGCTCCTGTTGGGCCTTTGTGGCAGGGCTTTGGGTACCCCAGCTCTAGGGCCTGCCATTTTGAAGATTCAAACACTCTGGCTTGTGCCTCTTGCTCCAGCTGGAACTAACGACCCTTCACTCTCCTTCCTATATTCAGACTTCAGCTACCATGGATCAGGCTTCAGCTCCCTAATTTCTGTCTTTGTGTTACCCTGTTTTCTCCTCCAGTGCCTTCCTGCCTTTCATCAACTGTCCTTATGTTTTGAGTTCAACCTCCCTGCAAGACAGATCTAAGAGGTTTGGTAGATTAACAGGCCACTTCTTGGTCACTGGACAGCCTGCATGCTGACCGCCCTGTGTGGCCTGGTCACCTGCACCTCATGGTCAGGGTACTTGTGGAACACAACACAGAAACAATGTAAGGAACATTCTCAGAAAGAGATGTGGGTTTTTCAGGTAAGCGAGGCATCCTAGAATGAAGCTGCAAACAGGCAAATATTGTTTGGATAACCTGCATTCAAACATCAGGAATTACACACTTATGCCTCCACTTGGTGCCTGCCTGCATGAAGAGTCTCCCTCCATGAAAAGGCAAAGCTTTGGCACCCTCACTTTACCTGGAGGCAACTGCTGCTCCCTCCTCTTTCCACTCTTCAGGGAAATTCTGTTTTTCTGACCTTGTAGTTTCTGATTATAGTCCTTGTTTTATCTCAAAATGGCGGCAGTTCTCTTCCCTTTCACAGAGGATGTACTGCTTCTCATGACTCCTGACAGAATCTCTAAATCCTCCAAGTGGGGTTGCAATCTTCAGACCAGAGATCTAGTACAAGAGTGGTGTCATGTCCACATGTGTCCTCAGGAAGACACAATAAACACAAGTGTCTCCCCGGGAAACAGGTTCAGACTACTCCCTTGGTGAGCTCTGCTTATCCTTGGCAAATCATATTTACACACATGAGTTTTGACCAATCAAAACCCACTATATCTCTTAACTGTTCTGTCAGCAGGGAGTGGAGTTGGGCAATGTGCTCCATTGGTGAGCCGGTCACACCTCAGATCTTCTCCAGAAAGTCTGGGCTTGGCCTCCATGGCCTTCTACCACAGCCAGGCACTCTCCTGGTCCCCCCTGGCTTCCTGGTTGGGTAGTCATCTTTCACTCTCTCTCCTCTCTCCCTCTCTCCCATAGAGGCTTGTGCCTCTTGCTAAAGGGTGCACTCCCTGAAGGCAGAGGCCTGGGTGTCTGTCCTGCTCTGCATTCTCTGGATTATACTCATTAGCATTTGCTGAATAAAGAAATGTGCCCATTCTATGGACCCATCTCTGTCCTGGGTCACACTCTGGTCAGTGACTTCCCACAAGGTTGAGGAGCACATGCGCAAATGATAGGAAGTTCAAAGTACAGTCACTTAGTTGGATGCCTGGTGAGGATCGAGGAGAACACAGCAAGTGCTAATCCAAGGAGATGAAAATTTAGAGAAAGTAAGACTTTCACTCAGACCCCCTCTAGCCAAACCACTGCATGAGCATAGCTTGGCCAACATAGCACTTACCTGCGGCACAGAAGAAAGAAATTGAGGTTTCTGGATGAATCACATAATCACTGACCAGCAGCAGGCTATTGGACTCTGTTGATGGGATTATAATGTTCAGAGGAAAAGAAGGGAGACAAGAAAAGAAGAGAAGAAGGTAGATGAGAAAGAGGAAGAGAGAGAGGGAGGAAAGAAGGACAGAAAAGAAGGAGGGAGAAAAGGAGTAAAAGAAGCAAGCACCAAACTTCCGCCAGGGCCTTCAGTATAATTGGATCTTGGGGATATTTTCCCAGAAGATTACAAAGTTTCTAAACTGAGCACAACTCACTTTCCAAACTTTAAATGACCTCAGGGACTAAAACAGTCCCAAAGAACAAACTGGAATTTAAATTGAGTTCTAAGAGCAATGGCCAGTCCTTTGGAGATTGTGCCCTGAGAACAGGAGAGGAAGGGAGAGGACCGGTCAGACTCTTTACCTGTTACAGGTTCTAAGCCCTCATAATGGTACTTCAGACCCAGGGTGACTTTTCCTGACATGTAACCTCTTTCCAGTCCTTGAGGAAGAGATAACTTTTGTTCATTATGTTTCCAATAAAGGTAAGTGCAAATTTTAATAAAAGCAACACCAAAATGTTCAAGAATGCAGCTACATATCTTTCATAAATCTTGAATATAATAGAATGGGGGCTTGAGGAGGGGAGAGATGAAGCACTTTCATTGGCATGGAATTATTCTCATGGAATTAAAAAGATCCATCAAGCTGCAAGAGTATCTAAGATCATCTAGTCTCACCCCATCACTAAACAGAGGAAAAGGGCTTTCCAGGGACCCTACAGTTGTCCCTTCCTGATGAAAATTGTTGGGCTCTTTCTCATTTTGTAAAGTCCAAAGTCTGACATTACTAATCAGCCACATCTCTGGATGATAACATAGAGGAAATATTTTCTTCACATGACCCAGGTTTCTGCTCCAACCCATACATTACAGGGGAATGTGTTCTGGGCACCTGGGCCCTCTTCAAGCTTGGGGACCATTCTCAGTATCAGCCTTTTTCATCAATTGTAGAATGACACATTTGCCTCAAAGATGTATAGCTATTTTTTTAAGGACTTAGGGAAAAAAAGGAAGAAAGATTCTTGTTTATCTTTATACTGAAGCTAAACTATACTGAAGCTATACTTGGAGAGCTGCATTGTGGCAGAGGGATTAACTATCTAGGTACTTGAGATGACAGAAGCAGCAGAAGTTGTAAAAGATGAATTTCAACTGGATAACCAAGAACAACCACTTCAAAACTGATTGAGACTTGCAGAGAGGTAAAGAGCCCCATATCACTAAGATAGTCAAATCTAGGCCGCAGGCCTATCAGAAAATGCAGTAAGGAGCTTTCTACCTTGGCAAAGGAACAAATTGCTAAACAGACCCACTATCTGTTGTGAGCATTGGGGTAACTATTACTATTGAAGTGATGATGTTGCTTCTCTAATTATTTGTTTGCATGACTATTCCCTACTAGCTTTTGAGCTCTTCAAGGTCAGGGGCTGTATCTTTCATTGTAGTGTTCCCAGCATTTAGAATTATGCCCAGTCCATAATAGATGTCCAATAAATGTCTATTAACCTGGATTGAAATATTATGGCACTGGCTTGGTCACAGCTACTATGTGCTAAGTACCAACACAGAAGTGTCTTAGAGCTTCCCAGGCATGATGTGCTGCTGCAACAATGGAGGAAGTTGCTAGATTGCTGACAACTCTTACAGGAAGTTCATGCATATTTTAGCTACAATGCAAATAAAACCCAAACCCCAACACCCTCAAAGTTGCAAACAAGTATTTTTTAACAGTCTAGAAAAAATCCTAGTTTTAAGAGCACTTAAAATTCTAAGGAGAGAGTTAAGCTTCCCAAAAAGAAGAATTACCAGAGCAGGACCAGGGCTCTGCAGAGAATCTCAGGAACAAAGCAGTGCCTTTGCCGCAGACAGATCAAGAATGAAGTCAAGAGGAAAGATTCCATGATAACTTTAATTCAATTTGGGCATAGTGTACAAGCACCCACACACACACACACACACACACACACACACACACGCCCTTTCAAATGTACAAAAAGGATCAGTAGGATGTTAAGACCTTGGCACTGTGGTGTCAAGGTGATGTGGGGGCGATTCTCAAAGCAGGTATCACCAGAGATATCCTCTTAACTCCCACATTCCCCAAGGAAAGGGCTCCTTTATTTTCTGAGGTTTTTGTTCATTTCTGTTGGTTTTCATTTATGTCATCTTGTCTCCTTGTATACCTTATTCTTTTTTAATGTGTGCCAGCATTTGAATTTGCAAAATTATTTGTGAAAATGTTTTCAAGAGTGGATTGATGGTATCTTTCTTCAGAGTGGATTTATGTTTGCTTCTGTTAGGTATTTGGGAACACTAGAAATCTGGGATCACCTCAATCAAATTTCAGGGCTTAAAAAGATTTGAAGTTGAACTATGGCACTTACAAATGCTTCTTTTCTTCTGATTTGCCTTATTTCTATGGTGCCACACTCTCTGGGGTTCCATCCCAAAGAAAGGGAACTTTGTTAAGGGTCTTGAACTGTGGGTCTCATACTTTAAAACATGCTCCCCATTTCCACAAGGCGGTTACTGAAGCTTATTGGCCTCACAGTGGCCTTGTCCAGAAACTGCAAATGCCCCAGCTGAAACACAGCCTTAAGGACCAGGCTGACTTCTCTGAGCCCCTGCTTTTCCCAGAATCATGACCCTATGATTTCTCATTGTCTTACTATCTCTCTAAGTCTTTACATAGATGTTTTACATATTTTGTTCTGTTTTTCCAGTGTTCATTTGCAGGAAGATTAGTCCAAATTAACTTGTTGCTTCTTACTGGAAGCAGAAGAGGAAAAAGTGATCTCCACTATATTATTCTTAGAACTCCATTGGGATGGACCAATTGTCAGGACTATTCTCCAGTTGCTCAGGAGGACAGGTTTTTTGCTTGTCTGCTTAGGTACTTTAGAATAAGAGAATACTGACAATTCCTTCTGAGTTCCTATAGGTTTCAGAACAGATACGTCATGGACAGATCCAATGAGACCTCACTGGTGATGGGCTTCATTCTCCTGGGCCTGTCAGCCCACCCCAAACTGGAGAAAACATTCTTTGTGCTCATCCTGCTGATGTACCTGGTGATTCTGCTGGGCAATGGTGTCCTCATCTTGGTGACCCTCCTTGACTCCCACCTGCACACACCCATGTACTTCTTCCTGGGGAACCTCTCCTTCCTGGACATCTGCTACACAACTTCCTCCATCCCCCTCATTCTTGACAGCTTCCTCATCCCCAGAAAGACCATCTCTTTCTCAGCATGTGCTGTGCAGATGTTTCTCTCCTTTGCCATGGGAGCCACAGAGTGTGTACTCCTGAGCATGATGGCCTTTGATCGCTATGTGGCCATCTGCAACCCCCTTAGGTACCCTGTGGTCATGAGCAAGGCTGTCTATGTGCCCATGGCTGCAGGCTCCTGGGCAGCTGGTATCACCAATTCAGTAGTACAGACATCCTTAGCAATGCGACTACCTTTCTGTGGGGACAGTGTCATCAACCACTTCACCTGTGAGATCCTGGCTGTCCTGAAGTTGGCCTGTGCTGACATCTCCATCAATGTGATCAGCATGGTGGTGGCCAACATGATCTTCCTGGCTATCCCAGTCCTATTCATTTTTGTCTCCTATGTCTTCATCCTTGCCACCATCCTGAGGATCCCCTCTGCTGAGGGGAGGAAAAAGGCTTTCTCCACCTGCTCTGCCCACCTCACAGTGGTGATTGTCTTCTATGGGACCATCCTCTTCATGTATGGGAAGCCCAAGTCCAAGGACCACCTGGGGGCCAACAAGCAGGACCTGGCAGACAAGCTCATCTCGTTATTTTATGGGGTGGTGACCCCCATGCTGAACCCCATCATCTACAGCCTGAGGAACAAGGACGTGAAGACTGCTGTGAGGAATATGGTAGCTCAAAAACACCTAACTGAGTGACTCTTATCAAATCTAACACTGACAGAATGTATGACCTCCAAACTCCTCATTGTGCTTATGGAAAAATGACAACCCAAAGTAGAAAGGGACTTTTCCAAGGTCTATGTCATGAATCATGGGACCAGGACTAAAAAAAATTAACTTTTTTTCCCATGGTTTCATAAGCCATGGAAGCTTGTAAGAACATTTTTGGAGATACTAGCTAGTTGTTGACTTTGTACACAACTTCAGTGACATCGTACCACAACTATTTCATGTTTGCAAACTCTTTGGTCCTCTGCCACCAGAGCTGGTGCATATCTGTGAAGAGTTATTGGTGTGTGCAAAATTAAGAGACAGATATAAAACCTGGTTTTGGTGACATTGGGTTCTTTCTGTGCACTATTTGCCCCCTCTGCACAACTGTACATGCTTTTGCATTATCCTAGATGGTAAGAAAAATATGAAAAATATCACCCATGTCATCACAATGTGTGCTATTGGCCAATAGTACCATGACAGGAATTCTCGAGTCGTAACACCAAGAACAGAGGGGCCTTACCTTAAATTGTGGGACTTATCTGTCAGGAAACACAAAGAAATGTTTGCACCCTTCTCTTCCCACACCAGCTCCAAACAGTTCTGTAAGAAACACAGACCCCCATGTCTGGGGGGCAGCAGCTCTCAATCTTTTCTACCCACACCACTCACAGCATAATAACTGTCAACATTCCCATAGTTATGCCCAGACTATAAAGAAATTTTTAAAAATATTTTGGAGAAAGAAAAGGGCTATAATAATCTTCAGTTCCACAGCTGTTATTGGTCATTAGTCAGACCTGCTCCCAATTGGTTCGGGAATAGTATCAAAGGCTGTGAGTCTGTCAGCATAAGAGATTGGATGCTGCAACAGGCAGGAGATCTTCAGTAGCACAAAAGAGAAACTCGACTCAAATTCATTTAAAAATAATTTTGATTTATTTAAAAGTAGGGCCAGTTTCAGGCCTAATTAATCTGGCCCCAGTCCCTTTGCTCTGAAATTTTCTTTACTGCTCACTTTTCCACGTAGCAGCTTTGTTCTCAGAATGACTCTTCTCTGTGTTTATTGGATTGCTTCTGCAAGCTGTGGGGCTGCAGTATCCTGATTCACATATGGGGTAGAAGCCATTGGTTCCCACAGTTAGAGAACAAGTATCCTGAGGGTCACTGTTATTGGTCTGATGCAAACCACAAACCAAGCACAGTGGCAGGTGGGATAAGATTATG